TTCATAAAGTCTGGCACATGCACATTTTGCAAAAGTGTCTCTCATGCATTCTGAAAGTGGCAAAGAATACACCAAATTCATACACCTCCTGTCTAGAACTGGTACTTGAATCTGGCTCAAGCTGCGCCATTTTTAGAAGGCATGTGAGACATTTTCGCAAAATTTGCGTGTGCCAGTTTTTCTCTCGGTACGCCGAAAGAGAGCTGGTCTTAACCACTTCCCGCCTGCCTGCCATGTGCTGCAGCCGGACAGCAGCTACAGGCAAAGCGACGTACCCGTACATCGCTCTGGCTGTACTAACACAAGGAGGCATTGTGTGCCCCAGCAAGCGCGCAGCGTGCTTCTCACCGCGACTGCTGTGTCCAGCGGATACAGTGGACTGAAGATTCTGGTGAACGTGATGATCACATGATCACTATGTAAGCAAAGCTGTTATGAATCAATGTCATTCATAACAGCTCTGCTTCTCTTCCTAGTGATATGTGATTGGCCCACAGCTGTCACATGATACATGGGGCCAATCACACCACCCTGTACCATGTTACCAGCTCCAGCCAAACACAGATCACTATCCTGAGCTGTCAAAACTTAACTCATTCATGGCAGTTAATTTGCATTGCAGGAGAAATAATTTTTAAGTGTTTTGTTTTTTTGTTAACTACTTGCCAACCGCTTACCCGCATTTTGCGGGCAAGCAGCAGCTCTTAGCAAAGCCACGTAATCATGCGTTGCTTCCTATTTTAGGGTGTGAACGCACCTGTGCCCCCCACTGCCCCCCCCCCCCCCACACACACACACACACAATCAAGGGAGAGAAGAAAGAACACAGGAACACGGCACCAAGTAAAAGCACCACATTTTACATGCATGCGTTAGATTAGCACATTTAACCCTTTGATCGCCCCTATTAAACCCTTTGATCACCCCGTCACCCAGCTAGTGCCTTTAGTACAGTGGCAATATATATAATTTTTCACTGATCACTGTATTCATGCCACTAGTGACATCAGATAGCGTCAGGGTCAGTAAGCGTCCCTCACAGCCAGGGTCAGCTAGCGTTCGATTGCCTGCGCACTATTGCACTCACGCTATAGGTCGCTGATCACCGCCATTACTAGTTTAATGTTTGTACGAATCAATATATTGATCATGTACAGAACTATATTAGTGGCTCCTTTGTATAGTGTCCACAAAAACGCAGAGTAAGCAGGATTGGCCTCGTTCGCTGCCAGCACTAGCGTTTAGCCCCTCTGCTGTTTTTCACAGAAGATTTGTATCAATTGATCGTAGGCCAAGGCAATTTATACGCACAACAATACATGGCCACCCAACCAAATTCAGCTCTTGCCAGACAATTCGCATGGAAACCAATCACGGTTTCTGAATTTAAAACGCTTTTGGGCCTAACCCTCAACATGGGCATTACAGAAAAGAATGAATTGCGGTCATGTTGATCCACAGAGCCAATTCATCATATGCCTGTGTTCTCTGCTGTTACATATATGCCCAACATGGACCAGCAATGTACTGGTACGTCGCTGGACTTTGAGTGGTTATATCGGGATGATGCTTGCAGCTACAGGCATCATCCTGGTATCGTTTTATTCAGCCGGTGGTCGGCTTTCATGTAAAAAACAATCCTAGTGGCCAGTTAGCTGCTGAATTGTTTTTACGAGCAGCGGGAAGGGACATCCCCCCCCTCCTGCTGCATTCCACAGTTTTCTTGGGCTCTCCGGTCCCACAGGGGAATCCGAGAATGCAGCTGGCAGTTCTGCTGGCTGACCATAGAGCTGATCAGAGACCAGAATGGCTCCAATCATCTCTATAGTCTAAGAAATCGGAAGCTGTGAGCATTTCATCACTTCAGTTTCACGGGATATATAAAGCGCCATTTGTAAATTGGGAAAACAACTGATCACATCGATCTTGGTGAAATTAGATAATGTAAGGGCAGAGCAGATATCGAGAGTCTGATAGACCCCAGATTTCTCAAAAAAGAATATATGACAATGCCCATTGAAGTTATAGGGGATATTTGCATTCTCTGTGATAGCATTAAAAGTGATAAAAAAAAAATGAAAGGGACAATATAAAAATAATTTTAAAAAATCAGCTAAAAAAAAAAAAAAAAAAAAAAAAAAAAAAGCACCCTTGCTCCCCCTGCACGCGCGCACCTTCATGCGCAAGCATTGACCCCGTGCCAGTATGTAAACAGTGGTTGCACCATGCATGAGGTATCGCCACGAACGTCAGATTGAGGGTAGTAATTCTAGCACTAGACTTCCTGTGTAAATATAAATTGGTGACCTGTAAAGGCTTTTAAAGCGTCGCCTATCGATAATAAAAATGTATTACTTTGTTGCCATTGCACAGGCATGCGCAATTTTAAACCATGTCATGTTTGGTATATATTTACTCAGTGTAACATTATCTTTTATATTTTATCAAACAATTGGGCAATATATTGTGTTTTTGTGCATTAAAATTTGAAAAAGTGTAT